AGCTAGGATTTTAGAAAGAGTTGGTAAAGACCTGGTACTTCCAGGGTAGCTCAGACAACTCTCTGCAAAGACAAAGCCTTGCTATAAGGAAGCCTGCACAGATGCTGAGATGAGCTGCTTACTATCTGTGGAGTCTTAGCTAAGTAGAACTCTCTGAGCCTCAGGATGCCTAGCTGTGCTGACAGCTCAGAGCCTGGAGCCTGCTTCAGATTCTGTGTCTCCCTCTCTCTCTGCCCCTCCACCCCACTCACACTCTGTGTCTCTCAAAAATGAATAAATGTTAAAAAAAAAAATAAAACCTCTCTGAACCTCAGTTTCTTCTGCTATAGAATGGGATGGTAAGTCCTACCTCTTACGACTATATTGTCCACTAGAGTTGCCATATCTAATACCACTGGGTTGCCTGAACAACAGAAATGTATTTTCTCACAGTTTTTGGGGCCAGAAGTCCAAGATCAAGGTGTTGGATGGGTCAGTTTCTGATGAGGCCTCTCTTCTGGGCTTGTACATGGCTGTCTTCTTGCTGTCTTAACATGGCTTCATTTCTGTGAGGGTGCAGAGAGAGAGAGAGAGAGAGAGAGAGAGATCTGATATCTCTTCCTCTTCTTATAAGGACACCAGTCCTAACAGATTAAGATCTCATCCTTATGACCTCATTTAACTTTTATTACCTTCTTATGGGCCCTATCTCCAAAAACAGTCACATTGGGGATTAGAGTGTCAACATACACATTAGGGAGGGGGCACAACTCAGTCTAGATCAGACTGTTTTCAGAGTATCAAGACATAGATTATGCTCTGAAAATGGCAGTTCTTTTGATGTGGGTCATAGAAGGGGTCAAGCAGTTTCAGTGAATCTGCCTGCTGAATCAAGAAGGTCTGAGCAGACTAAGCCAAAGATACCCCCAGGTCCTTGGTGAAGAAGAAATAAAAGTAAAGACCACACCCCTACAGTAGATTACCAATATTTTGCTACACTTCTTTTTATGCTTTAAAGGTTCATCTAATAACTGTGTTTTTTTTTTTTCACGATGACACCTTCTCCCTTACTTCCTACATTCTGTCAGCCACTAGCTGTCCTTGATCTACATTCCCCACTCTCCTATTAGTCCAGGTCTCCACTCCTGATGAATTAGATACTCACTGTGGCTTCCTCTGTTCTTTTGCCACAATTCAGTCCCACCCACTCTCACACCCTAGACAGGCTGGTAGCTTAAAGTGTAAACTAGATCATATCACCTCTCCACTTGAAATGTTTTGATGATTCCTATTATTTTTAGGATAAACTCAAACTTTATACCAAGCTTTCAAGGGCCCTCCTTATATCTTCTGGCTCTTACCCATCTCTCCAGCTTCATTGTCTTTCAACCCCACTTTCTCATTCTCTGACCTAGATGCCTCTGGGTTACTGCTCAAGCTGCTCTGCCTGCCCACACTTATCTGTTCTCCACACCCTTATACCAGACTCATTTTTTAGATTTCAGGTTCCAAGTGACACAACCCAGAAAGCCTTTGTTGGGAGATTAGGCTGCGTACCTAGCCCATGTGCTCACATTCTTTTTGTCCTAACAGCTATCTCCCCATATTGAAATCTGTGGTTGTCTCTATCTCCCCCTTCAAACTGTAAGTTCTGGGGAGGGTCCTATTTATTGTTGTGTTTCCAGCATCTAGCACAGCAACTGGCACATAGTAGGTACTCAATAAATACTAGTCAAATTAACCAATTATGTTTTTTTTTAACGTTTTTATTTATTTTTGAGACAGAGAGAGACAGAGCATGAATGAGGGAGGGGCAGAGAGAGAAGGAGACACAGAATCAGAAGCAGGCTCCAGGTTCTGAGCCATCAGCCCAGAGCCCTACGCGGGGCTCGAACTCACAGACTGTGAGATCGTGACCTGAGTCGAAGTTGGATGCTTAACCGACTGAGCCACCCAGGCGCCCCTAACCAATTATGTTTTTTAAAACTCTTTTGGATAGTTGTATACCCATGTTCATAGCAGCATTATTCAGAAAAGCCAAAAGGTGAAAACAGTTAACTGATTCATCCCCAGTTAACTGATGGATGAATGGATAAACAAAATGTGGTATATCCATACAATGGACTATTATTTAGCTTTAAAAAAGAAAGAAATTCTGACACATACTACAACATGGAGGAAACTTGAGGACACTATACTAAGTAAAATAAGCCTGTCACAAAAGGATGACACAAAAGGATGGTATGACTCCTCTTATTTGAGGTTCCTAGAGTAGTCAAAGTCATAGAGACAGAAAGTAGAATGGTAGTTGCCAAGGACTCAGGGGAGAGGGAAATGAGGAGTTAGTGTTGAATGGGTACAGAGCTTTAGTCTGGGAGGAAAGAAAAGTTCTGGAGATGGATGGTAGTAATAGTTGCACAGCATGGGGAATATATTTAATGTCACTAAACTGTACACTTAAAAATGGATAAAATGATAAATTTCATGTTTGTGTATTTTGCTGCAATAAAAAATAACCACTAAAATCATTTTTATAAAATTTCAAACAAGAACAAAATAAAACCTCTAGGTAATGCTGGATAGAAAGAAAGAGATAGAGAGAGAGAGAGAGAGAGAGAGAGAGAGAGAGAATAATCAGGAGGGACCCCTGCTGGGATCTGTGGTTGAGATTCAGGAGCCAGTGGGCAGACTAGGTTAGTAGCCCTCATAAAGGGTCCCTATGTAGTCAGGCTCATTGTCTCTGGATGTGCTTCAAGTTATCCTTTCACCCTCTCAAGACTGCTGCTGCTCATTTTTTTGTTCATTTCAATGGAGATGATTAAAATAAACACTTGGGGTGCCTGGCTGGCTCAGTTGGTTAAATGTCTGACTCTTGATTTTGGCTCAGGTCATGATCTCACTGTTGTCAGGTCGAGCCCTGTGTTGGCTCTGTGCTGACAGCATGAAGCCTGCTTAGGAGTCTCTCTCCCTCTCTCTCTGCCCTTCCCCCACTCATTCTCTCTTCCCTCCTCTTTCCCAAAATAAAATGAACACTCAGGGTTTTATATATCACTATCCTTAAGGTCTATTCCACTTGGCAGAGTACCTTAAAAGAGGTTTCTTTGCAACTTTGGAAGTGAAACATTATTTAAGCACCCAGTGGCCGACTGTTCTTCAAAGATGATCATAACTTTATCTCCCATCTTGCATGATTTCTGCAATGAGACCATTAGGAAGAGAGGTCTATTTCCCTCTCCTTGAGCCTAGATGCAGAAGTGACATTGTGTGGCTTTTGAGGCTGGCCTCCAAGAGGCAGTGTAGTTTCTGCTCTTTTGCTCTCTGTGAGAGCCAGCTGCCATGCAGAAAAGAAGCTGCAGATAAAATACTGAGTGATGAGGCAGCTAGCATGTGCAATGAGAGAGGCCATGCTGGGTAGCGGACTATATGGTATGTGAGTGAAACTTCTTAGGCCTTCCAGCTCAGCCCAGCTGCCATTCGACTGCAACTTCATGGACACCCCCGTTAATCCCAGCTGCAACAAAAGAACTAGCCAACCAGGCATTGCCCAGACTTTTAACCCACAGAATCATTAGAAGTAAATAAGCCATTGCTGCTCTAAGTCACTAAGTTTTGAAATGACTTGATTTGAAGCAATAGATAACCCAAGCCCCATCTTCTACCAAATTAAACACTAGAATGTATAATTGTAGTACAGCATTCTAGTACCTCCACTCCAGTTTGTATTCATTGTAATAATATCAACATAGATATAAAAGAAAGAAATCCATATACAACACCACCATTCCAATGCTTTCTCTGTTTTCACTTATCCATACGTTTTTCTGTTAGTGTATGATAGGCATACATAGTGAAACAATGTTGTATTTATTGAGCACGTGACATTGTGCTGTTTTTCTCTCTCTTCACATTGTATTTTTCATTCACCCATTGAACAAGCATTTACTGAGACCTACTTCATGTTAGGCACAGAGGATTTGGAGCTAAATGACTGCATACTATTTTTTCCATATTTTTAATCATTCACATAATTCCTGTGAAATTGCTCTTTGAATTGAATGCAAATTAATCCAGGTGTTTCTTTTCTTGTCTATTTATAAATTTTAGCTCTGAAGAATGTGTGGTAACCTATAATATGACCTATAGTATCAAACCATACAATTAAAATTATCAGGAAAGGAAAATAAATATACCATGAACCTAGTCTAATAGAATTACTATAATTGAACATATAGCTCTGAGATTTCAGGCAAGGCAAAAAGAAAACAGTGAAACAGTCATTCTCATTGCTTGACTTAAAGCAAGCCCATCACACTTCTGATGGGGATGGAGATCTTGACTTCCCTACACAGGAGGAACTGGTGGTGGACTAGAGGTGAGGAGGTGGAGACAGTATACATAGGAGAGGCTCAGCTTTATCCAGGAACTTGGCTAGGAGGAAAAGTAGGGTGTAGGGAAGCTAGGCAAGGGCAAGAGTGCTGGTGGGAAAATTCTGTGGCGAGGCAGAAACCGAGGATTCAGGGGAGAGTTTTGACTGAGGAGATGGGGTCCTTGGGAAGGTCCAGGTATGGGATCTGGGACTCATTTGGAAAATGAGGGAGTTTCCTGGCTGGCAATCACTGTTTTTTCAGTTTAAATGAGATGAGAGTGTAGCAGAAAGGGGTTGGAGGTTTGAGAAGAATGGGCAAGGTACCAGCTACTCCTTGTTGAATCTGCTGATAGTCTGTTTCAGAGTCATACTATTGAGGCATCTGAATCCAGGAGTAGATAAGGAAAAGGACAGACCATGACCTGGATATCACCAGGGCCCTGGCTCAATCTTCCAAGCAGGCTCCTGACCCTGTACAAACCCTCCATTCTACGCTATAGAATACTTGATCTGAAGGTTCTCCTACACCTGCTTTTCTGAGAGTGATGATTTGTAGAGGCTGTGAAGACAGGCAGGTGGCATAGCCAATGGGGCAGCTAGCTGAGAGATTCTAAGGAGAGGAACAGTTGGTGAGGAAGGAGAGGTTTCCTGTTGACCACCAGGTTTTACATAGGAGAGGAGAGAAAAAGCAGGGCTTCAGAGCTGTGGCAGCAGAAGCAGGGACACAAATGGTCCAGACCGGATCCACTCCTCCAGCCACTGCAGTAAAAACCTGTCCTTTTAGTCACCACTCAACACATGTTACCAGAGATTTGATGCTTCAATTTGAGTGACTGGGATTTGGCCACAAAACTGTCTCTGAAGGAAGGAAAGCAAAGATCTGTGAGTCTGACCACCAACTGTTTTATTTCCCATGAGAGTTGGCAGGTGAGGGTTCGGAGACCCACCATGGCCTTCCTCCTTTCCTCCTTGTTATCTTTGGACCATGCGCTTGCAAAGCAGATGAAATCCAAAGTTTAGGCTGCCAAGTTAGACACTCTGGTTTCTAATCCTGACTACTCCATGTACTTGGCTATATAATGATCATGGGGGAGTTACTTAGCCATTCTAAATCTCAGTTTTCTTGTCTAGAAATTGAGAATATTTATCTCATAAGGTTGTTCTAAAGAATAAATGATACATCAATGTCCATTTATGGCAAAGTACCTAGCACATAGTAAATGCCCAGTATGTGCATTGTTTTCCCACTGTCCCATCTACCCGCTTTGGCTCTTCTCCTTGATCAACCACTGCTCTTGGCAGGCTTACTGGGTAGTCCTACATCCATGAGCTCACTCTGGAGCCTGCCTCTCATTCTTATGTATGACTATTTGAGTGATGTGAACTGATTCTTGGGGGTAATTTAGAAATATTGCTGAGTCTCAGACACCTTTGAAGAAGACTTTTCAGCACTAGCTGTGACGATTTTTTTAGTAAAATGCAAAGCATTTAAAAAGAACCCCAGAAAACAACAAGTGTTGGCAAGGACATGGGGAAATTAGAACACTTATGTGTTGCTGGTGGGAATGTAGATGGCACAGCTGCTATGAAAAACATTGTGGTGATCCCTCAAAAAAATTAAACATAGATTTACCATGTTATCCAGCAATTCTGCTTCTTGTTATATACTCACAAGAAGTGATTGGAAAGTCAAACATATCTGTACATCCATGTTAATAGTCGTTTTATTTATTTATTTATTATTTAATATGAAATTTATTGTCAAATTGGTTTCCATACAACACCCAGTGCTCATCCCAACAGGTGCCCTCCTCAATGCCCATCACCCAATTTCCCCTCCCTTCCACTCCCCATCAACCCTCAGTTTGTTCTCAGCATTTAAGAGTCTCTTATGTATTTAAGAGTCTCTCAGTATTTAAGAGTCCCCTTCCCTCTCTGTAACTTTTTTTCCTCTTCCCCTCCCCCATGATCTTCTGTTAAGTTTCTCAGGATACATATAAGAGTGAAAACATACAGTGTCTGTCTTTCTCTGTATGACTTATTTCACTTAACACAACACTCTCCAGTTCCATCCACGTTGCTACAAAAGGCCATATTTCATTCTTTCTCATTGCTAAGTAGTATTCCATTGTATATATAAACCACAATTTCTTTATCCGTTCATCAGTTGGTGGACATTTAGGCTCTTTCCATAGTTTGGTTATTGTTGAAAGTGCTGCTATAAACATTGGGGTACAAGTGCCCCTATGCATCAGCACTCCTGTATCCCTTGCGTAGATTCCTAGCAGTGCTATTGCTGGGTCATAAGGTAGATCTATTTTTAACTTTTTGAGGAACATCCACACTGTTTTCCAGAGTGGCTGTACCAGTTTGCATTCCCACCAACAGTGCAAGAGGGTTCTCATTTCTCCACATCCTCTTCAGCATCTATAGTCTCCTGATTTGTTCATTTTAGTCACTCTGACTGGCGTGAGGTGATATCTCAGTGTGGTATGGTCATTTTATTCAAACAGTCAAAAAGTGGAAACAACCCAAATGTCCATCAATGAATGTATATATAAGCAAAATGTAGTATTTCCATACAGTGGAATATTATTTAGCCATTAAAAGGAAGGACAACTTGACACCTGCTACAATGTAGATGAAACTTTAAGATTTTATGCTAAGTGAAATAAGCCAGTTGCAAAAGGATGAATATGGCATGGTTTCTCTTAGAGGAGGTTCCCAGAGTATTCAAACTCCTAGAGACAGAAAGTAGAGTTGTGGTTTCCAGGGATTCAGAGAGAGTGGGGGTCGAAAGGGAGTTATTGTTTAGGGGCAGAGCTTCAGTCTTGGAAGATGAAAAAGTTCTGGGGGTGGATGGTGATGATGGTTGCACAAGGGTGTGAATGTACTCAATGTCACAGAAGTGTACACTTCAAAATGATCATAATGGTAGATTCTGTGTTAATGTGTATTTCATCACAAAAAACTCCTCAAAATTTGTTAAATATTCTAAATCTCAAATTAAATGATTGGTCACTGCCATGTACAAGAACACATGTAAAACAGGACAACCATTGATGATTACCCAAATTAAGCTAATAAAAAGATTTAAGGTCAAGGCCAAGATGGCTGAGCAGCATGGAAGTTTTTTACATCTCTTTTCCCTGAAATGCAGCTAGATCAACACCAAACCATCTTGCACACCTAAAAAATTGATCTGAGGATTAACTCAACAATCTGCATAACTGAACCACAGAACTCGGCAGGTACATGGCACGGAGAGGTGAACTGAGGGAGAGAGAAGCCATGGAGGGTAGGGACCTGTTTTTGTTTGTGGAGAGAGGACAGAGACAGTGGGGAGAGTACAGGAAAAGCCCTCTCCCCGAAAATAGCTGGAGAAAAAGAGAAAGAGTGGAAACACCCATAAGAGAATTAATAAGAAAGGGAGAAAGGAGAAAGGAGAGGGTGTGGATACCATTATGACTCAATGAACAGGAGAGAACAGAGTCTGAAACTCCATGACTTGATACCTGGTGGAGCTCTGGTGGGAACAGTGAATCCCCAGGAGCAGACAGTGAGGTCCGAGGGATCCTCGGGCCACATAGGGAGAAGTGGTTCCTCTGCTGAGAAGACATTTGGTGGGTTGTGTGGACTCCCCACAGGCAAAGGTCCCAGTGGACCCTGGAGAACAACCATGTTTGCTGGTGTTGGAACAAGGGACATCCACACGCACATACTGGGCATTTACTATGTGCTAGGCACTCTGCTATAAATGGACACTTATTTGTAAATAGTATGTGCATTGTTTTTCCACTGTCCCAACATCTGTACCCCCAACGTGAAAGAACCCAAATATATAAATCAATTAATCACAAACATACAGAAACTCATTGACAATAATACCATAATAGTAGGGGACTTCAACACCCCACTTACAGCAATGGACAGATCATCTAAACAGAAAATCAACAAGGAAACAATGGCTTTGAATGACACACTGGACTGGGTGGACTTAACAGGTATATTTAGAACATTTCATCTTAAAGCAGCAGAATACACATTCTTCTCAAGTGCATATGGAACATTCTCCAGAATAGATCACACACTGGGACACAAATCAGCCCTCAACAAGTACAAAAGATCGAGATCAGACCATACCTGTTTTGAGACCACAATGTTATGAAACTCAAATGTCAACCCCAAGAAAACATTTGGAAAGACAACACATACTTGGAGACTAAAGAACATCCTACTAAAGAACGAATGGGCTAATGAAGAAGTTAAAGAGGAAATTAAAATGTCCACAGTCCAAAACCTCTGGGACTCAGCAAAGGCTGTCATAAGAGGGAAGTATGTAGCAATCCAGGCCTTCCTAAGGAAGGAAAAAAGTTCTCAGATACACAACCTAACCTTACACCTTAAAGAGCTGGAAAAAGAACAGGAAATAAAACCCCAAATCAGCAGAAGATAGGAAATAATAAAGATTAGAGCAGAAATCAATGCTATTGAAATAAAAAAACAGTAGAACAGATCAATGAAACCAGGAGCTTGTTCTTTGAAAGAGTTAACAAAATTGATAAATCCCTAGCCAGTTTGATCAAAAAGAAAAAGGAAATGACCAAATAAATAAAATCAAGAACAAAAGAGGAGAGATCACAACCAACACTGCAGAAATACAAACAATAAGAAGAGAATATCATGAGCAATTATATGCCAATAAATTGGGCAACCTGGAAGAAATGGACAAATTCCTAGAAACATATAAACTACCAAAAGTGAAACAAGAAGAAATAGAAAATTTGAACAGACTCATAATCAGTAAAAAAATCAAATTAGTAATCAAAAAATCTCCCAAAAAACAAGAGCCCAGGTCAGATGGTTTTCTAATTCTACCAAACATTTGAAAAAGAGCTAACACCTATTCTTTTGAAACTATTTCAAAAAATAGATATTGGAGGAAAAATTCCAAACTCATTCTATGAAGCCAGTATTACCTTGATTCCAAAACCAGAGACCCCACTAAAAAGAAGGACTGCAGACCAATTTCACTGATGAACATGGATGCAAAAATCCTCAACAAGATACTAGCCAACTGGATCCAACAATACATTAAAAGAATTATTCACCACAACCAAGTGAGATTTATACCTGGGATGCAGGGCTGGTTCAGTGTCTGCAAAACAATCAATGTGATGCATCACATCAATAAAAGAAAGGACAAGAACCAGGTGATCCTTTCAATAGATACAGAAAAAGAATTTGACAAAATACACCATCCTTTCTTGATAAAAACCCTCAGGAAAGTAGAGATAGAAGGAGCATATCTCAAGATCATAAAAGCCATATGTGAAAGACCCACCGCTAATATCATCCTTAATGGGGAAGAACTGAGAGCTAAGTTCAGCTAAACTAAGGTCAGGAACATGACAGGGATGTCCACTCTCACTACTGTTATTCAACATAGTATTGGAAGTGCTAGCCTCAGCAATCAGGCAACACAAAGGAATAGAAGGCATCCAGATCAGCAAAGAGGAAGTCAAACTTTCACTCTTCACAGACAACATGATACTGTATATGGAAAACCCAAAAGATTCCACCAAAAAAACTGCTAGAATTGATTCATGAATTCAGCAAAGTTGCAGGATATAAAATCAACACACAGAAATCGGTTGCATTCCTATACACCAACAATGAAGCGACAGAAAGAGAAATCAAGATCCCATTTACAGTTGCACAAAAAACCATAAAATACCTAGGAATAAATCTAACCAAAGAGGTGAAAAAATCTATACACTGAAAACTATAGAAAGCTTATGAAAGAAATTGGAGAAGACACACACACACACACACACACACACACACACACAAAGAGGAAAAAGATTCCATGCTCCTGGATAGGAAGAACAAATATTGGTAAATGTCGATACTACCCAAAGCAATCTACATATTCAATGCAATCCCTATCAAAATAACACCAGCATTCTTCACAGAGCTAGAACAAATGATCCTAAAATTTGTATGGAACCAGAAAAGACCCCGAATAGCCAAAGCAATCTTGAAAAAGAAAACCAACGCAGGAGGCATCACAATCCCAGACTTCGAGCTATACTACAAAGCTGTAACCGTCAAGACAGTATGGTACTGGCACAAGAGCAGACATTCAGATTAATGGGACAGAATAGAGAACCCAGAAATGGACCCACAAACATATGGCCAACTAATCTTTGACAAAGCAGGAAAGAATATCCAATGGAATAAAGACAGTCTCTTCAGCAAGTGGTGCTGGGAAAACTGGACAGCGACATGCAGAAGAATGAACCTGGACCACTTTCTTACACCCTACACAAAAATAAACTCAAAATGGATGAAAGACCTCAATGTAAGTCAGGAAGCCATCAAAATCGTCGAGGAGAAAGCAGGCAAAAACCTCTTTGATCTTGGCCGCAGCAACTTCTTACTCAACACGTCTCTGGAGGCAAAGGAAACAAAAGCCAAAATGAACTATTGGGACCTCATCAAAATAAAAAGCTTCTGTACAGTGAAGGAAACCATTAGCAAAACTAAAATGCAACTGACAGAATGAGAGAAGATATTTGCAAATGACATATCAGATAGAGTTAGTATCCAAAATCTATAAAGAACTTATCAAACTCAACACCCAAAAAACAAATAATCCAGTGAAGAAATGGGCAAAGGACAGGAAGAGACATTTTTCCAAAGAAGATATCCAGATAGCTAACAGACACATGAAAAAAATGCTCAACACCACTCATCATCAGGGAAATACAAATTAAAACCACAATGAGATACCATCTCACACCTGTCAGAATGGCCAAGATTAACAACTCAGGAAGCAACAGATATTGGCGAGGATGCAGAGAAAGAGGCTCTCTTTTGCCCTGCTGGTAAGAATGCAAACTTGTGCGGCCACTCTGGAAAACAGTATGGAGGTTCCTCAAAAAGTTAAAAATAGAACTACTATATGACCGAGCAATTGTACTACTAGGTATTTATCCAAGGGGTACAGGTGTGCTGTTTCAAAGGGACACATGCACCCCCATGTTTATAGCAGCACTATTAACAATAGCCAACGTATGGAAAGAGCCCAAATGTTCATCGACAGATGGGTGGATAAAGAAGATATGGTATATATATATATGTATGTATATACACACACAATGGAGTATTACTTGTCAATCAAAAAGAATGAAATCTTGCCATTTGCAACAACATGGATAGAACTAGAGGGTATTATGCTAAGCGAAATAAGTCAGAGAAAGACAAATATCATATGACTTCACTCATATGTAGATACAAAACAGATGAACATAAAGAAAGGGAAGCAAAAATAACATAAAAACAGGGAAGGGGACTCTTAAAGAGTATTATTAGTAGTAGTCGTATCAATAAAGTATGGTGATAGGTACCCTCTGAAGAATTGTGGATGGAACAGAAGCCATGTGCATGAAAGAAAAGGAAATGTTCTATTTTTCCCTATAGTCTTCAGAAATCTCCTGGCAAAGATACAAAGTATAGAGATTGTCATAGGGCTTCTAGAACAACCAGACACACCTGAATAGTTAAATTCATTTATTCATTCCATCCTTTTGTTCATTTATCAAGTCTATTAGACCCTTATGTGTCATTATCTATACCGGATGATATGGACATTTTAACTGTGAATAAAGTTTGACTCCTGACCTCCAGAAGCTGATAATCTAGTAGGAAAGATGAGATATGTAACTGTTGTGCAGTTGGGCGTGTCCAGAGTGGACAGCCTTTATCATAGGCTGAAACGTGGAGAGAGGAATAACCATATCATGGGGCACAAATACTGCATGTGTATAAAGATATGAAACTGACAGCTGGTAGTAGATCTAAAACCTGAGCCATCTCCTTGGATGTGCTTAGGATTCTTGGCCACCTGCTCGCAAGTACTGACACTGTGTTCTTTCCTTTCCTGCCCTTCTTGAGGTGCTGTCAGGAGTCCTCCTGGTCTTGGATTCTGTGGTCCCTTGAGATTCTGAAGAGATGGCTGCAGCGGCAGTGGCTGGACTGATCCCTGTGCTACACTCAGTGGCTGGTGACAAATCCCGCTACTATATTGGGCGACAGCTGTGGTTTGGGTTCATCGCTGTGTATGGAGTGGTGGTGTACGTGGTCCGCATGCCCTGGGTTCCCATCCATGAAGATTTCTGGTGCCATGGCAACATTACCAATACTTGTTTGATTGAGTGTTTTGAAAAAAGTTTTAACAGTCCTGTAGTGGGAATTTGGTACTTTTTTTTCTTTATTTTCTTAGCCCTCTTCTTCCTCATGGAATTCTTCATGGCTCAGATTCGGCACAAGCAAATCAAAGCCAAGTCAGTGGAGTCAGTGGCAGGTGAAATGGAGGACGGCTCCATGGTGGGAATCCAGGAGCATGCCCCTTCCCCGAAGAAGTCCATCCTGAACTTCCACCAGGAGAAGATGCTTTTGCTTTTGTATCTCCTTTACTTCCTCCTGCAGGTTGGTGCACAGTGTGTGTTTTTATTTTTTCTTATGTACCAACACCTGCCCCTGGTGAGCCAAGCTATCATTCACTGCAGCACCAAGAGCTGTCCAGGACCCTATTTCTGCCTGATCAGGGGGACCATGGAGAAGCGAATGTCCATCTACACCCTCATCACCTTATCCTTCATGATCATCCTCTTCTGTTCAGGTTTCTTCATGTACAGCATCCACCATTACCTGCTAAAAGGGCTTGCCAGTGCTAAGTTTTGGCTTGACTAATGTTTGAAGTTCTTATTGAGAGTCTTTCCTCCCTTACACTAGGAAGTTTGTATTCCTTTAAATATTGTGTCTGGGGCAGGGCTTCTTCCTGCTGTTTCTTTGCTTTAGTCCTTCATAAAATAAACATTTATTGTTCTTGTGTCCTCTCTCTACAGCCAGGCTCAGGTTGTCTGTGTGTGTGTGGGGGGGGGGGGGGGGGGGTGGTACACACTTGATAACATTTCAGAGTTTTCTCAAATGTGTTATCTAATTTGGTCCTCCCCAGAAGCCTGTGGCCTTGAGCTTGCTACTTCATCCTTCCAGTATTTTCAAATCAGGAAGAGCTTTCATAGTCTTAGAACTAAGAGCATTAAAGATTCAGAGGAGATTGGCTGACTTGTGCTCTGGCCTCCCCAATTTGGGTTGTAAATAAAGGGAAGGTAATTCTTCTCTACAGAAAAATTCTCAGCTGGACTGTCAGAGCAAGTTACTCAAGCTCCTAGGTGTGGGCGCAGTCTTGCCACCTCACTTGAGTCTCCAATGAGGACTGAATAAATCTGGATGAATCCCACTGGGGAGAGGATGAGTGTGGGTAGGGTGGGAATGATGTTTGGAGGAATCAGTGCACTGGGTTTCACTATGTTCAGAATCTTGTCTCTCTCCAAGACCTGACCTGTCTATCTTTTTAAAAATTTTATTATTATTTTTCTGTACCTGTTTATCTTGAGTTATGTTGAAGCTCAGGTCAAGTCTACACATACGTTACTAACAATGCTTTGGGGTCCCTGCTGAGTCATGCTATTTGCAAGCACAAGGTGGTTTGACCAGATATGGCTAAAGCTCTCCACATCTGGGGGGAGGCAACAAGGATGGGGATCAGAGTGAATATGCTACAGAGAAGGTATGGCTAGTTACCTCATCCTGTGCTAAGCAGTTGTCCCCAGAACTAATTTGAGTAGCCATCTTGTGCCTGAGGCTTAGGTTCCTTCCAGGTGCTTCGTGTGAGATGAAGAACGAGGGCAATGCCAAGAGCCTTACCTTGTTGGGTACAGTCTGTGTTGTCCAAGCAAGCATAATGTTCCGAAACTACTTAGTTGGATGTAGTTGGAATTATTTTATTTTATTTTATTTTATTTTTTATTTTTTATTTATTTATTTTTTTTTTTTAATTTTTTTTTCAACGTTTATTTATTTTTGGGACAGAGAGAGACAGAGCATGAAGGGGGGAGGGGCAGAGAGAGAGGGAGTCACAGAATCGGAAGCAGGCTCCAGGCTCTGAGCCATCAGCCCAGAGCCTGACGCGGGGCTCGAACTCACGGACCGCGAGATCGTGACCTGGCTGAAGTCGGACGCTTAACCGACTGCGCCACCGAGGCGCCCCTGTAGTTGGAATTTTTTTTGAGGCTGACTGTGACAGGCAGATCCCAAGGTCTCCCCCAATGATTTTCTGCCTCCTGGTGTCCATGTCTTTGTATAATCCCTCCTTATGAATGTAAGCAGAAACTGTGACTTGCTTCTAACCAATAAGATGTCACTCCTTTGATTATGTCATATTATATATAACTCTATTTTAGCAGATTAGAACAAGACTTTCCCTTGCTGGCTTTGAAGAGGCATTCATGGCAAGGAATTGCAAGTGGCTTCTTAGGGCTGAGAGTGGCACCCAGCTGACTGCCAGCAGAAAATGGGGTCATACAACTGCAAAGGAATTAAATTCTTCCCACAACTTGAAAGAACTTTAAAGTGGATTCTTCCCCAGTCAAGCCTCCAGATGAGAATACAGCCCAGCTTACCCCTAGATTGCAGTTTTGCAAAACCATGCACAGAGGACCCATGCCTGGGCTCCTAACCCACAGAAACTGTGAGATAATATGTGCATGTTGGGGTGCCTGTGGGGCTCAGTTGCTTAAGTGTCTGACACTTGATTTTGCCTCAGGTCATGATCTTATGGTTTGTGAGTTCAAGCCCCACATTGGGCTCTGCACTGATAGTGTGGAGCCTACTTGAGATTCTGCCTCTTTCTCTGCCCCTCCCCCACTCGTAGTCTCTCTGTCTCTCTCAAAACAAATAAATAAACTTAAAAAAAATATGTATGTTGTTTTAAGCTGTTAAGTTTGTGGAGATTTGTTACATAGCAATAGAAAACTAACACACTGACCCCAGGGGCCCCACAATGGTATAAGAGCCAGTGGAGGTTGGCTGGTCTCAGCATTAATGCATCTGAGGTTTTCACAGCTTTTCTTCCATCCCAGGAAACAATACTCCTTTGCTTTCTTCCAGCAGGTGACCCAGTCACAGTCTGAGGGGCTTGTATAAGTTTTAGCAGAGAGTGCCAGAGACTAAGGTGACTGCTGCTTCTGACCCTTCTGCCTAGAAGGCTCCTGCATAGGCCAGCCCTGGAAAGATTCTTACTGTCCTGAATGATCCACCTTGATCTGCACTGGTGTCGTACAGGTGGGATCTGAGGTTCCAGAACCTCCTGTTGCAATACTACTGTAAAATGAGAACTTGCTGGGCTCACACAATCTCCACCAGGCACAAAGCTTGGCAGTTGGTGCTGCTGGACGCCACCTTCTACTATCATCCTAGGCTGGGCATCTTTGAGCACAACTGTGTGCAGGGGCCTCTGAGGCCCCATTTTGAAACTCAGCTGGGTTTGTGGAGAGGCCACACCCTGTGGATGCGGTTTTATCCAGTGCATGCTTGGAAGTTGTGTAGAAGAGGGAACTGTGAAAAAATTTAGGGGTGAATCAGAGCCAAGTGTTGCTGTATATCCAGTGCCCTGAAGAGTGTCTGGTACATAGTAAGGACACTAAATACATTTTTGGACAATGGAGTATAATCCTGTGCTCTAAAAGAATCTTGATGCTATTCCTAGAGCTTGTGGGTAGTGGTAATACTATTCTCAGGCAGGTTTATTGAGAGTCAAAACTCAAGGTCTGGTTTATATCCCCAGTAAACCTTGCATTTCCCCTTTCCCTGGGCTTATCCTGGTTGCAGGCATGGTGCTCAGTGGTTGGATCTGTGCCATCTTGTTTCACAGAATAGAGGCTGCATCAGAGACTTTAGCTTAATTACAAGAAGGGCAGTCTGGACAGTGACAGCAGTCCGTCAACAGCTATATTTGAGCATGCAATTATCCAGATGAAGACTGTCTCAGACAGAGGGAAGAGCAAGGGCTCTGAGGTGGTGTATTGGTCAAAGTTTAATCAGGAACAGAAATGACACCAATAATTTGAACAAGGAGAGTTTGGTGCAAAGTCTAAGTAGTCAAAGGTGATTAACTACGTAATGGGATAAAAGAGGACTATAAGGGATCTGGAAGTTAGCAATCACAGAAAACAGCTTCTGCTTCTAGGACTGATGGAGATGAACCAGGAGGGAAGGGTATGACTGCTACAGGAACATGTAGCCTGTGGGGGATGAGAAAATCTGCCAGAGGGTGACAAACTTGGGTCAGAGCTACTCTGTAGAAGCAGACTCACTTGTCAGAGAGTGCAAATGAAGCCAGTCCATAGGGCTACTTAGATGAGTTCTAGCAAGCCTCCCACACACCAGAACTTGGTGGCTGCTGCACCAAGAAATAGCACATTGAAGGAATTCCCTTCTTTCTACTATTGCCTCCTAGTGTCCTTCCAGTATTACCTATTTTATCTAATGACAAATCTTAACACTAAACCATCTGGCAAAGGAGAAATGTTTACAGGGTCCAGCCCTTGTATCACAAAGCTGGGGCAGGAAAAAAAAAAAGATAATAAATTGGTAACTGGCAGTCTATCCTTTGGGCAACTCAGCTTCCATATGTACCTTCCTGCACACATTTAAACTTCTAAACAACAATGAAACAACTCTGTTTCCACCTAACAAAGCTGTAGTTGTTCTTTGTACAAGGAAGCAGTGCTCACACTTTCTCCAAACTGAAAATAGTCACAATAGACATTATACCCATTGCTGACTGTATTCAGTACTTTCAAATTTGGTCATAGTTCCATTGAAAATTTTGTTACATAATAGCTAAATTATAAAGTTAATTTTCTTTTCTTAAAACATTTTTTCCTAATGTTTTATTTATTTTTGAGGGGGGGGGCAGAGAGAGAGGGAGGCACAGAATCTGATGCAGGCTCCAGGCTCTGAGCTGTTAACACAGAAACAGTGAGATCACGACCTGAGCCTAAGCCAGATACTTAACTGACTGAGCCACTCAGGTGCCCCTACAGAGCTAATTTTTAGCAACTTGTATATATAAAATAATAAGGGAAGGAATAAGAGAGAAGAAAATAGTTATAATTTACAAATAAATATGTACACAAAAAGAAAATATGTAAAACTGATATAATCCTTGTAATTGGTCACAAAGTCATAGTTGATATTTCTCCCTTCTTATGTTTTTCTTTGCCCTGAGCCAGAAACTTAAGTTTCTAATAGGGTGGCCCAAAATATCCTAATAGGGTGACCCAAACTATCATTTCTGAAGGGTCTGAATCTTCAAGAGTCTTAACTTTTCCTTTTGTTTGCTATAGTTTTCCATTAACCTTCACTATTGGGCATGGAAGTATTCTGGGTTCCAGAAATAGTTTTCTTTGTCCCCTACGTGTAGGGGCAACTCAATTTCTCACTGGCAATTGTGATCAATCACTCCAGTCTGTAGAGTAACTCTTTTTTTCCCCTTGCCTGTTGGTTCAGCATAAAGATTCCCACATAGCCAAGTGGTGGTCTCATCTTCCAAATCAATAGAGCCATCATGCCCTTGATAGAAGCACTTCCCCACTGGGAACTAAGACCTCCAAACCAGAAGAGTTCATGGTTGCTGAATGGGAAGTGAAAAATTCTGCCAATGTTTTTTTTTAAGTATAATAGTGAGAGGAGCTTCTCTCCCTTCTACTCTTTGATTCAGAGAGTATATATATTCTGGCTGTGTGGAAGATAGCACCACATAATGGCTTCTGATTCAAAGCATGTATTTTAGCCTGTTAGACCCCATCTTTTCAGGGTGCTGTCTCACAATTGATATTATAACTGAGTTTTCAGTAAGCCCTTCTACCTTTCAATTCAGTCAGCTGCTTCTGGGTAATGGAGTATTGTGGGAGATTCTATGGGCATGAGCCTGTTGCTATACTTTTTTTGCTGCCAAATTAGTTCCTTGATCAGACACAGTTCTGTGAGGTATATATCTAT